GCTGTTTAATTATATAAACAATGCAGGCAGCGTAAGATCAAATATTATTAGCGTTATCTTGATGACAAATGCAAATATTGTTTATTGAATAAGTTAATTGAAACGAAAAACAATTGCAACTTGGTTGAATACGCGATTTCTTTGCGTGCAGCAAAACAATATGCCATATATTAATTAATAATTAATGATTTAACCAATTTAATTTCTAAAAACAAAACCCAACATATATACTTTAAATATATGTATATGTATTTGAGACTATATATTGTCATAGACTCTTATGCAATATGAACTCGGACATATCAATTCAAAAGACACGAAATCTCACACATACACACACACACCCCCACACACACTGAAGCGAACCTACCTAGCTTTTTTACAAATGTGAGCAGAATTACTTTACAGCTGAAAAGAAAACGGAAACAAGCAACAATTTTACAGTATTAGAGCCGCTTTGTGCATATTTTTCGACGGCTTACGTGACGTATACGCAATCAGCAGCAGCAGCAACTAACAATAAGGCAAACTACCAATACACAGACAAGCACACCTACACCCACACACAGATTTAAATTCAATCATTTGTAATTAAATATATCAATTTCGAAGGCTTTATTTAATTCTGCTGCTATTTGTATACCAAATTTTTGTACACATTTTTTAATAAATTCAATTTTACACATTATACACACGTACTCGTATATCTATTTATATATATTGAAGGTTTACGAGCACACACACACACACACACACTTAAAACACATGAGTTAGCTTAATATATATCTCATTGACTTTCGCCTAAATTTGCTTTAAATTAAAATAAATATATATATGTATATTTACATATATGCATGTACATTTGACTCCTCTTAAAAATTTATAGAATTTTCAAATTTTTTGATACATTTTTGAGTTATTGAGAACCTCAACTTGTATACAAACGAAATACACGACAAACTAGCGAAAACACTTTGGACATTTACAACACTATACAATGCACATATATATACATACATATACACACATGCATATATACAAAGGCAACCCTACTTACATATATATATATATATACTCTACTCTATAAATGTACATCTATACAACATATACATACATATACAATATATTGTAACGATTGTAATAAATGAATTATTATTATGTATTTCGTCCCTTCGATTTGATAACTAATTCTTAACAAATTAATATGCTGTTGATAACAAATTAACATTCCCACTTAAATATGTATGTACCACTCTCCAATGGCTACGACAAATTTCTATATATATATATATACAGTATGTCAATAAAGTGTTTTTACTAACAAAAAAAAACTAATTTTTTGGGTTTAGTTGAAAATAAATGTACCTAAAAGTGAGAATTTTTTTTCAATTCTAATTTATTTCGATTCTATATTTTTCCTAGAACTTAATGGCAAAAAGAATTGTTAAATAACATTACCCAAACATTTTATAAAATTAAAAAACTAAAAACATTCAAATTTTATGCTGTCAATAAAGTGTTTTTACACGAAACTTTATTACTAAATAACAATGTTAAAAAAACAGGAATATTTTTTTTTAATACTTTGTGTGGCTGCCATTAGCGTCACATACAGCCTGCAATCGCCGTTTCATTGAAACAATAAGGTTTTGTATGTATGTTTCTGGAATCTTCTGCCATTCTTCCAGTACAGCAGCTTTTAAATCAGTTTTTGATTTTGGACTCCGCTTTGCGACTTTTTTTTTCAAATATGACCACACATTTTCTATTGGATTCATATCTGGACTTTGTGGTGGAGTGTCTAACACCTTTCCACAGTTGTACAACAGCCAAACTCTTACCATATGAGCTTTATGCTTCGGGTCATTGTCCTGGTAAAATTTAAAAATTGGCTTATTGTCCTCATAGAATCCAAATTTCTGTGCACTACTGACGAGATGTGTCTGTAAAATGCTCAGATATTGTCTAGCATCCATGGTATTCTCAATGAAGGTCAAATCTCCTACACCCTTGCTCGAAATACACCCCCACACCATCACTGATAGTTTTCCGAATTTAACGGTTGGAATAATATTGCGGTTTTCCAACGCTGTTAGTGGCTTTCTCCAGACTCTGGATGGCCCATCGTTGTAGAATAGCATCATCTTGCTTTCGTCACAGAATATGACGTTACTCCAAAAATCGTTCGAACTATTTACATGGACTTGAGCGAACGATAGCCGCTTCAAAATATTCGCCGCCGATAGTAGAGGTTTTTTCCTGGCAACTCGTGATGTGTAGTCATTGGAATTCAGTAATTTTCGGACAGTTTCATGTAACACATCAACACCACTTTCTTCCTTGAACTCCTGAGCAATATCCCTAAGCGAAATTTGTGGATTTTTCTCAATTTTTCTCAGAATTTTTCGCTTATCTCTGTCAGAAATTTTGCAGGGTCGACCACATACTGGCTTTGCCTCTAGCCTATCTTCCTTATTGGCTCTGTTTAATATGTTGTATATCGTTGCTTTTGATAAATTAAACATATCAGCCAGTTCCGAGACTTGACGTCCCATCTGATGGTTATAATACACCAGCTGAGCGACTTCAAAAGTTGTTCTTTTTCCTGGCATTTTATTTTTCATAAAATTAAAGCAAAACGTTATAAATTGCAATAGAAAATGACAAGAAAAGTCGAAGACACAAGAGAAGCCAAAACGCATGGGCCCAAATCTAACGGGATCACCCAAAAGAGAACGGCAAAACAATTTACCGTAGCTGTAAAAACACTTTATTGACAGCATAAAATGTGAATGTTTTTAGTTTTTTAATTTTATAAAATGTTTGGGTAATGTTATTTAACAATTCTTTTTGCCATTAAGTTCTAGGAGAAATATAGAATCGAAATAAATTATAATTGAAAAAAAATTCTCACTTTTAGGTACATTTATTTTCAACTAAACCCAAAAAATTAGTTTTTTTTTGTTAGTAAAAACACTTTATTGACATACTGTATATATATATATATATATATATATATATATATATATATATATATATATATATATATATATATATATATATACATCTATATGTATCCTCTCACAATGTTAATGCTGCACAAGGAAAACTCTGCATTTAAAGTAAACCACAAAGTTTATTCATTTCAATTTGAAGGAAACTCAAATTTTGCCTTGCGATTATTAAAAGTGCACCCAAAAAGCAAATAAATTCAACCTATTGAGAAGTCTACGCGCCATGCAAATAAAACTTAATAAGTTGTTTAATAACAATATATTAGATAAAACAAATACAACTACCAATTGATTAAAGAATAATGTTATGTATGATAAACCTAAATGATAAGGGGCAAGGCAAGTACAGTTAGTTTAATGAGTAACAGTAACGGTAACGGTAACTTAGTTAAACCATGTAATAGTTGAATGATTGTAGGAACAGGTAAATGCGAATGAAATGCAAACAATGTATCAATACAACTTAAACTTATATCTATTTAGGCTTAATATCATTGTTATCTAATATATATATACGAAATTAACACACACCCAACAGACACACACACATACCCAGTATATAACGAAAAAGAATATGTATATGAACATGTAATGGCTGCGCAACGCTCAGGTTGCGTCTATATTATAACAAATAGTATCGTGTATGAGCATGTCTGTACGTGTCTGTACATGTAGCGGCAGTGATTGTTAATGAAATGGCTTTGTTTTGTGTTAGATTTTATAATTTATGAGAAAGAAAAATGGTATAAAATTGCATACAGAATGACTGACAAAACACAGAATTATAACATTGCATATAATAAATAAAATAAAAGTATAAAAGACGGTTTTTTTTTAAATATATAAAATGAATTGTGAACTCACCAGGCAAACGTTTTTGAACAGCTCTCCAACTCCAACTGAGTCCGCATCTCTGTTGTAATCCCAATTTATACTGCTTGCTCCTCATCTGACGTATGTGTGTACATATATTACATTCATATTGCGCAGGGTCAATTGTCTTTGCGGGCAAACATTCATATTATGCTCCTTAAATTGTTATACAACAATTACATTCACACCATCTGTACTGCGTCTCGCAACAGCAACTGAAACTTAGCTTTAGCGGGCAGCCTTATTTATACTGCTAGCTACTTAAGTTCTTGCTTGCATGACATGCTTTTTATATTTTTATACAACCACACAACCACATTCACACTACCACTTCAACTGTACCGGTCCGCCGCGCAGCTTCAACTGAGGCTTAGCTTCGACGGGCAGCTGTATTTATACGACTGGCTTTGCAATGTTAAATAACATTGCTAAAAAATGTTAATTTTTATTTACAAAGAAAAATTAGGCCAGCATACCAACGTTTATACCATCTGCAATGGACCGCTGCGCAGCTTCAACTGAAACCAAGCTTTAGTGGGCAGCCTTATTTATACTGCTGGCGCGTAGATTAATGACACGCTTTCATATTTTTACACACTCAACAACCACATCCACACTACCACTTCAACCGCACTATTCCGCCGCGCAGCTTCAACTGAAGCTCAGCTTCGACGGGCAGCTGTATTTATTCGACTGGCTTTGCAATGTTAAATAACATTGCCGAAAATTGTTCATTTTTATATAGGCCAGCATACAAGGTTTTATACCATCTGCACCGGACCGCCGGGCAGCCTTATTTATACTGGCGGCGCCTACATTAGTGACACGCTTTCATACTTTTACACTCACACGAACACACTCACACAAACACACTCACACAAACACACTCACACAAACACACTCACACCACCACTTCACCTGCACTGGACCGCCGCGCAGCTTCGACTGAAGCTCAGCTTCGATGGGCAGCTGTATTTATACTGCTGGCTCTGTTATGTTAGATAACAGTGCAGAAAAATGTTATGTTAATGTTAATGTTAAAAAAGCCATAACAGCTGTTATCAGGGGCGTAAGGAACTAGTTGTTCATTTTCGTGAGTCATTCAATTGAACTTATTCCAAAAGATATAATACAACACTATAATATTTGCGTGTGACTATTAAGAATAAAAATTACTTTTTTAAGTTATAAGTTTAAGCACAAAATATGGCTGGAACCGCAAATGCTGCCGCTAAGACCGAGATGATTGATCTCACCAAGCTCAGTCCGGACCAATTGATGCAAATCAAGCAAGAGTTCGAGCAGGTGAGTGCCAGTCGCGTGTGGGTGTTGCTGCTCATCATGCTGCCGGGGGAGCGCGGGGTGCCGTAGCGCAGTTGCACGCTAATATGGCACATGCTAACAATTTGATTTTGTATGCGGCACGTTTAGGAAATGACCAACATACAGGACTCGCTGTCCACTTTACACGGCTGCAAAGCGAAATACGCTGGATCGAAAGATGCCCTAGAAGCATTCCAGCCAGATTGGGAGAACCGTCAAATACTTGTGCCGTTGACCAGCAGTATGTATGTGCCGGGTCGCATAAAGGATTTGAATAATTTCATCATAGACATCGGTACCGGCTACTACATCGAAAAGGTAACACGAACTGCTTTTAATCATATTGCTGCGCTCACTTCAATTCTTTGGTTTAACAGGATCTGGAGGGCTCCAAGGACTATTTTAAGCGACGCGTCGAGTATGTGCAGGAACAGATCGAAAAAATCGAAAAGATCCACTTGCAAAAGACGCGTTTCCTGAACTCTGTGATGGGTGTGCTGGAGATGAAGCAAGCGGCTGCCGCAAAAATGATCCAGCAACAACAGCAGCAGCCGCAAGGCAAGCAGAGCGCCTAGTCGACTGGTCGCAGAACAAATATGATGATTAAATTATTGAACTTATAAAGAATTTGTGCATTTAATTGACATATGTAGTTTATTAAATTGTTCAACTACTTTTTGGCTTCTGCCAATGCCACACTCAGCACCTGCAACTTTTGCTCATACGCAGCCTTCAGGTCCTGCCAAGTAAAGTTGGAAATGTTTGTTATTGACCTATTTTTCATCATATTTCAAAGCTGTTCTCACCTTGAATATTTTTGACTGTGTGTCATATTCTGCACGCAGCTTGTCGTAGACGGACTTTGATATAGCCAGTTTCTTCTCGGTGAGCGCACACTTGTCCTGCTCGGCCTTGATCCACAGTTGACTCTTCTCCAGGCGCGCTTGGGTGTGCTCGCACTCTGTGGTTTTTAGCTGCAGCATATCTTTGGTCACCTGCAGCACATCCTTAATGGAGTCCACCTGATTCTTAAGCACGGCAATCTGTTGTTCCTGTTGCTTGTTGACTTTTGTCTTTTCAAAGAGCAAAGTTTTGGCCTTAAGCAGCAGTTCCTCCTGCTCCTGGCGTGATTTGGGCGCATCTGTGCCTCCCAGCATCACCGACTGCTTCAGAGACTGCTCCAAATTGGCCACTCGCTTCTGTAATCGCTCATTCTCGCATCGCACCTCCTGTTCAAATGGGTTGTAAGCCAATTTAACTACTCGGCAAATGGCTCATCCAAAACTAACCTCAAAATCTTTGCGCAGCGCACCAATTCGTTTGCGGGACTCCTCGAGCAACGCTTGCTTTTCGCTCTCCAATGTGAATACCATGTCGAGCAGCTCGTTTTGGGGTTGCGCCGCTGGCTGATCCTCTTGTTCAGCCTGTCCACAGGCAGTTGCTTCATTGTTATTCACATCGCCGTCAACCGCGTTTTCCGAAATGTTTGCAGACATATTTTTTACAATTTTTCTAAATAATTATAAAATATTCACACGGTTTACGCTTCTTTGTCCGATTTCTCTGGCATGTTTTTTTCTTTTTGTATTTATAGACAAAATAGATGCATGTTCTATATATAGCCTCATTTTTGGACTCGGGCTCTCTTTGCTGCGCTCTCTCACATAATTCTCTACAGTCTACGCTAAATAATAAACATTTAGCTTCCGATTTAGTTTTGCATACGCCGCAGCATATTCTGAAGTTTCATTTATTATGTATGTTACGTGAATGAGGCGGGCCTATAAATGATGTGCGGGGTTAATACAAATCGCAGTTAGCAGAAAACAATTAAATTGTTATTACAATTAAATGGGAGCGAAAGTTTGCAGTGAGTTTAACATAAGATTAAGTGCCTAAACAAATTTTAGAAATGCCAAGAGCAAGGTTTGCGGGTCGCTTTAACCGTCGAGCTCGCCGGCAGCACAGGCATCGCCGTAGCTCTTGCCGCTCTTGTCCTCGGGATTCAGCTTAATCATATCGTCAATGCGCAAAATAGTGATTGCCGCCTCCGTAGCAAACTTCAGTGATTTGATCTTTGACATGGCCGGCTCCAGGACGCCAGCTTTCTTGTTGTCACGCACGACGCCCTCAATCAGATCCAGGCCGGTCCACTTAAGCTCGCCATGCTTGGAGTTTGTTTGGCTGGAGTTGTGGTAGGAGCGCAGCTTGGCCACTAAATCGGTGGCATCTTTGGCTGCATTTACAGATAAGGTTTTGGGAATGACCAACATCGATTTGGCGAACTCGGCAATAGCCAGCTGCTCGCGCGACGACAGCGACGTAGCAAAGTTCTCTAGGTAGATGGACAGCGCCGCCTCCACGCAGCCGCCACCAGCAACGACTTTTTTGCTTTCCAACACACGCTTCACTACGCACAGAGCATCGTGTACGGAACGCTCCATTTCATCACAGTAGAAGTCGTTGGGACCACGCAAAATTATAGATGCAGCAGCGCTGTAAAAGCACAAGAGAATTATACGAAATGGTCACTTTAGCCTTTCGGTTAAGCGACATCTTACCGAGCTTTGGTGCCCTTAATGAGAATGAGCTCATCATCGCAGATGCGCTCCTGTGCCACCTCAGCTGCCTCGCCCACCATCGAGGCATCGAAGCTCTCCTCCCCATCCATGTTTGTCAGCGAGGTAAGGAATGCAGCGCCAGTTGCCTTGGCAATGATTTTTAGGTCACTCTTCTTAACGCGACGCACAGCCATGGCGCCGGCCTCGACAAAGTACTTCATGCACAAATCGTCAACACCGCCACTGGACAGCACAACGTTAACGCCGGTGCCCAAAATCATGTTGATGCGCTCCTTGGTGATATCCAGCTCACGTGCGCGAATGGCTTCGAGTTTGTCGGGATCATTGATCAATACCTGTACGCCCATTTTCATCTTGGTCTTCTGCAGCGAGAAGTCCAGGCAGGCAATTTTTGCGTTCACTATTTTCTTAGGCATTTGCTGTGAGGCAAGGGTGCAGTTCAATGCATAGCCTGGGATCAGCACCGATTCGCGTGCCGACTTGCCGTGCGCCTTCAGCACATTTATGGCTTTGATCGAGTAGGCTGTCTGACCCTTGGGATCGGTGATCTTCACAGCTTGAGCGGCATCCACGACCATGGTCGAAAAGAAATCGGCATCCGCGCCAATGATCTTGGAGCTCATTGATGTCTTTGCAATATTGATTAGTGAGTCACGGCTCAGCTCGTCTACTGGTGCAGTCAGGTGCTCGGAAATGTATTTGCACGCCTCTTTGCAGGCAATACGGTAGCCAGAGATAATTGAAGTCGGATGAATTTTCTGCTTGACCAGCTCGTCGGCGTTCTTTAGCAACTCAGCGGCCAAAATGACGACGGATGTGGTGCCATCGCCAACCTCCTCATCCTGCAGCTGGGCCAACTCCACAAGCACCCTGATGTGGAATATAGAATAGTCACCAAAAATCACAAAATCAATTGTTCAACTTACTTTGCCGCTGGATGTTCCACCTCTAGCAGACGAAGAATGGTGGCTCCATCGTTGGTAATGGTCACATCACCAATATCATCCACCAACATTTTGTCCAAGCCGACGGGGCCCAGAGAGCTCTTGACAATGTTCGATATGGATAGCGCGGCCATAACTGCGAAAAAGAAAACCAGATGAAAATTCAAGCCGAGATGACAAGTGCTCTGGACGCTAGACGTCATAACCTCACTTTAATTACTAGACATTGTTTCATTTAAATCTCATTTACTTTGTTTTTCGCTTTTACAAACGCAAGTTTTAGAAAAAAGAGACATTTCGAGTGATTTGTTCGAGAAGATTCGTCACCACCATCTGGGGGTCTGATTGGCAACGTGCTTCTCCCCGGCAACTTGAAGTGCTGCAGCTGTTGCTGAAAGCAGGGAATTCTTACCATTCTGTGTGCGCACAGAAGCGCCGGACTGCCGTGTTCCAGCGATGGATAAGGGACTTGCCATTGTCGACATTTTTTGGCTGTGTTGTGCGACTTTTAATAAATATTTCAAACAACTTAAATACGCACTGCTATTACTTTCAGTGAAAAATCGCCGCACGCTAAACCGCCTGACTCAGAGTTAGTGATGTATATTTTTCTCTCTATCGATAACTAGTAATCGAATATTTGCTCTCAATATAATTAGTTTAAGAGATGTATAAGTTTATTTCTTGCAAGTTTCTCAAAGCAAAAAGCTAAAAAAAAAATAAAACATTAATTGATAAATTAAAATATTTATAAGATCTTGCTTTTATTATTTCACTTTTATTTAATTATTTAAATTGTCGATTGGCGGCAAACATGTATTTCTTCCTTATCGACTTTGAGAATGTAGGAGAGCTGGATAATGCCACTTATGTTGTTTGGTTAGTGATTGAACGCATGTAAAATAATCGATGACACGATGCGCAAAGAAGTGATTACTCGATAAAAAGTTAAGAAATCCGCGGCAAAATAACAAAAGCTATTTTTGTTTTTAATTTTTTAGGAAGCATTCATATTTTCCTTTATAGCGTTTAATAACATTTAAAATGAGTGCGACTCCGTCAAAAACACATTTGGCTGCGGCCAGTGCCTCCGAGTATAAAACGCCAAAGAAACAAAAAGAAACGACTCGGCGTCCAAAATCGGCCAGTCTTAAATCTATTGAAAATTTAACAAATTCGGATGAATCAAGTGCCGCTGAGATCGAGGAGCGACCACGCACACGTCGCTCAGCCCGCAATCCGAGTCCCACTAAGAAGTATCAAGACTATAGAGCCAAAGTCGAGGAGCAGCGCGTTGTTGTCAATTATGTTGAGTGCACGGATGAAGATGAGTCCCAGACCGAAGCTGAGCAAGACCATGCTACGGAGATAGGCATTGGTGCAGCAAAGCCGAGCACACGGGATCTACAGCTCATACAGTCCGACTACAACGTGGCGGGCGCCAGCTTGTTTGGCTTCAATACGCCCAAGAAAAGGGATGCCATGGCATTGGCTGCGCTCAATGCGACGCCCTGCACGCCAAAGACACCAAAGACTCCGCGGCTGGGTGTTAAGACCCCAGATACGAAACGCAAGAAGGCAGATCAACCAAAAACGCCAGCCCATGTCCGGACACGCGTCAAGCAACGTAATTGTCATTCAAGAAAAGCTTCAGTCAATATATTGAATACCATTCTTTCCACCCTCTTACAGAGATAGCCAAAATAGTGGCCGATTCTGATGAGGACTTCTCGGCGGACGACAGCGACTTTCGCCCGACCGACGGCAACTCATCATCAAGCAGTAGCAGCAGCAGCATTGACGGAGCCAGCTCAGACAACGACGCCGCAGATGATGAGTCAAAAACCCCGTGCAAGGCGCGTCGTGCCATTGTGGTGCCTGTGCTGCCCAAGACGCCGTCGGCAGCACGTCAGCGGCAGTCGGCGCGCGTAAAGAGATCCAACGAATTTGTGCCAGAAAGCGATGGCTACTTTCACTCACACGCCAGCAGCAAGATACTCACATCGGATCACACACTGGATCGTCTGAAGAATCCACGACTGGCCGCAGATCGTTTGTTTAGCCTGTTGGCCGATATGAAGACATCGGCCGAGCACGAGACAGCCATTAATGCT